CCTTTCTCTCTCTCTCTCTCTCTCTCTCTCTCTCTCTCTCTCTCTCTCTCTATATATATATATATATATATATATATATATATATATATATATATATATATATGTATGTATGTATATATCTTCCTCTTTGTATTTGTATTGTATGTTAATCTCACGCCATGCACACATTCATTCCTCACAGTTTCGCCGACGACCCCACGAGAGAAGTTCCGGTCCCTCATAACTGCATGTTTGCCGGGGCGACTGGCAACACCTGGGCCGTTATGTCAGTCTGTGATGAGTTGGTGAGGATCCTGCTGTGTTATAAGAGTAATGCACACTTGCGTCACTCTATCGCGTCACTATACTCAAGAGCAGGACCCGTGGTGATATATTCATCATTTTTTTTCACTGTACCATACTAACTAACCTCATAATCCGTTTTTATTTCTTTTCTTTTCTTCATTTTCTTTTCTCTCTTCGATATTCCTTCCAGAGTGGTGTGGTTGACCACCTCGGGAAAAGTTACCAAGTGGAAGCAGTGGAGGCGTTAAGCTCTAGAACTCGGAGAGATGTCGACGGGGATTCCAGGTACATCATCACCAGAATTGAGACGAAGCTTTCTGAAAACGCAGGTGAGGTCATTATTTCGAGAGGGAGAGAGAGAAGAGAGAGAGAGGGGGGGGCGAGTGATAAGGGGGGGGGGAGGATGAGAGAGAGATGGTGAAGGAAAAGAGAGAGAGAGAGAGAGAGAGAGAGAGAGAGAGAGAGAGAGAGAGAGAGAGAGAGAGAGAAAGAGAGCGATATATAGAGAGAGACAGAAAAGGAAGGAGAGAGAGAGCAGAGAGAAAAGGGGAGAGAGGGATATATATGGAGAGGGGAAGGGGTTGGAGAGTAAGAGGGAGAGTAAGGGCAAGAACAAGCCAAAGAACAAAAGAGACACACAAACAAACAAACAAGCAGAGACAGACAAATGAACCATCTCCCTCACCTCCATTTTTCCCCATTCTCATTCTTCCTTCTTCTCCTCCTTCTTCACCTACAGCCCGCCTCCCATTCGCCCCACGACAAGCGAAAGACGAAGAGGAAGAAGAAAAAGAAGAAGAAGGAGAAGAAGAGGAAAAAGAAGAAAGCGACGAGGAAGTATTGCCACGGAGATGGAAGCGAGCGACAAACACTAAGTACACGGTAGAGTTAGCGGTGTTCGTGGATCGAGCGCTTTATAACTATGTGAAAAAGCGCTACCCGGGCCAGAACCAAGATCAGAGGACGCTTGATATTGTCATGACTATTGTTAACGCTGTGAGTTTGCTGTTTGTTGTTTTTTTTAATTCGTGTTTTCCGGTCGTGTTTTTTTTCTTTTTTCTTTCTTTTTCTTTTTTCTTCTTTTCTTTTTTTTTTCTTTTCATTTTTCTCTCATTTTTTCTAGGGTTTTTTGATTATGGTCTTATGGGTCAACTTTTTTTTCTGTCGGTTTGTTAGTCTTTCTGTCTCTCTCTCTCTCTCTCTCTCTCTCTCTCTCTCTCTCTCTCTGTGTGTGTGTATGTGTGTGTGTGTCCTTCTTCTTCTTCTTCTCCTCTTCCTCCTCCTCACTCTCCTTTTATGCATCTTATTAATTCGCACAAAATTACATAACATTTTATTGCTTTTTGCTTTACGCCTCCCCCCCCCCGCCCCCACCCCCGTCCAATCACCTCATCACCTCCTCATTTCATCTCATCGAACTGCAACAACCCCATCACGCTATCCCATTCACCCTATCCTTTCTTCCCCCCCCCCACCTCCCCTTTTACATCACCCCCCCCCCCCACACACACACACCTTGTCACGTCACGCACCCCATCATGTCACCCCACCACACCCTGTCCACACTTCACACCACACTTCTTTATCTCACCTGATCACCCTGCACCATCTCACGGCCTGTATCGTCTCACCTTGTATCAAACCTCACCACATCCCCATTACGCCCCATTAATCCACCACACCACCTCATTCCACTTCACTCCACTTCACTTCGCCTTCCCTCCACTCTATTATGCCACTTCTCTCCACTTCACTTCACTTCACTGTATCGCATCACGGTCTTCCATCTCACTCCATCGCACTCCACCCCACCTCAAATTCCCTTCCACACCATCACTCCACCTCACTCCACCGCACTCCACCGCACTCCACCCCACTCCACCTCAGCTCAGATTCCCCTCCAACAGGTCCACCGCCTCTACTCAGACAGCTCCCTCGGCCAGTACAAAATCGCGATGCTGGTGAAGAAGGTGGAGGTGCTGCCCGCGGGGAAGCCGAGCGAGGCGAAGGGGGACATCTACTCTTACCTCAAGAACTTCTGTCTGTGGCAGTCCTCGCAGAACCCGAAGGTAAGCAGTGAGTGGGAGGGGAGGGAAGGAAGGAAGGGGGAGGGTGGGAAGGGTTGGGAAAGGAGGGGGAAGGAGGGAGGGAGAGGGATGAAAGGAAGGGAGAGGGATGAAGGGAAGGGAGAGGGAGGGACGCTGAGAAGGAAGAGGGAGGGAGAGGGAGGGAGGGAGGGAGGGAGAGGGAGGGAGGGAGGGAGAGGGACGCTGAGAAGGAAGAGGGAGGGAGAGGGAGGGAGGGAGGGAGGGAGAGGGACGCTGAGAAGGAAGAGGGAGGGAGAGGGAAAGAGAGAGAGGTGGAAGGAGGGAGGGAGTACGGGCCGACAGGGAAAGAAACAAAACGAAGAGTGAGAGAAAAAACAAATAAACAACAGAAAACGTTGAATTTGCCAACCCTAGTCGACCCCTGGGAGAGAGAGGAAATCAAACACCTAAATTCAGTTCAGGTTCGCAACGTTTTCATATCAAGGTCAAATTCATCGCCCTGAAACAATGGAAATGACCTAAAACTCCCTTTCACTGACCTCACTCCCTCCCCGCCCCTGACCTGTGACCTTCTCTCTATCCTTCCTTCATCCCTCCCTCCCTTCCTTCCCTCCCTCCCTCCCTACCTCCCATATTCCTCGCTACTTTCCTTCTTTCATCCCTCCCTTCTCCATCCCCTATCCTTCATTCACTCCCTCACTCCCTTCTTCCCTCTCCCTCATTACTCCTCTCTCTCCCCCCTTCCTTCATTCTCTCCCTCCTTCCATCCCTCCCTGCCTCCTTCCATCCTTCTCTCCCTCCCGCTCTCATTCTATTCCTCCCTCCCTCCCTTCCTTCCATCCTCCCTCCCTCCCTCCCTCCCTCCCTCCATCCCTTCATTCCTTCCTCCCTCCCTCCCTCCCTTCTTCCATTCTTCCCTCCTTCCTTCCCTTTCTTCCATCCTCCCTCTCTCCCTCCTTCCCTTCCTCCCTCCCTCCCTCCCTCCCTCCATCCCTCCCTCCTTCCTTCTTTCCCTCCCTCCCTCCATCCATCCATCCATCCCTCTCTGAACATGAGCAATAAATTAACACTAGTTCCGGTGCAAAATAAACTTTGAATTCATTAATAAATAAATGTTCATTCCTGTGACAAGGATCTTTAGTCTAGGAACAGGACAGCATTGCTGAAAGAAAAAAACTGTAACAGAAGATGATTTCGCATAGACTTCAGCATTATCGCGAACAGCGTTAAGCATTAGTACCAGGGTGGGGTAAATGTGCAATATAGAAGAGTAATATTGTGTTACATAATATCTCTCGGCCGCAAAGGTGCATCGAAGCTTCAATATGGAAATATCCGCTCGCACCAACACCTCACAGATCCGCATGCAGGGAAATGCCCGCCTGCCAAAAACAAGCGGTAGAGATGAAGTCCTACTGTCTCCTTTCCTTCCTTCCCTCATACCCTTCATCACTTACTTTCTCCCTCCCTCCTCTCCTCTCTCCCTCCTTCTCTCTCTCTCTCTCTCTCTCTCTCTCTCTCTCTCTCTCTCTCTCTCTCTCTCTCTCTCTCTCTCTCTCTCTCTCTCTCTCTCTCTCCATCCTTCATTTCCTCTCTCCTTCCTTCCTACCTCCCCTCTCTCCCTCCCTCCCTCCCTCCCTCCCTCCCTCCTACCTTCCCTCCCTCCCTCCCACCTTGCCTCCCTCGCTCCTTTCCTCCCACTTTCCTTCCATCCCTCCCCTCCCTCCCAACTTTCCTCCCTCCCTCCCTCCCTCCCATCTTCCCTCCCTCCCACCTTTCCTCCCTCCCTCCCAACTTTCTTCCCTCCCACCCTGCCTCCCTCGCTCCTTTCCTCCCACCTTCTCTCCCTCCCTCCCACCCTGCCTCCCGCTTTCCCTCCCTCCCACCTTCCCTCTCTCCCTCACACACCTTCCCTCCCCCGCAGAGCAACGCCGAGAAGAGATGGGACCACGCCCTCCTCCTCTCCGGTCTGGACCTGTGGAACGGGAAGCCGAAGCAGAACTCTACGGTGGGCCTCGCCTACGTCGGGGGAATGTGTTCTTCGAAGGTCTCTTGCACCATCAGCGAGGGAACGTCCTTTGCCGCGGCGTACATTGCGGCGCACGAGATCGGCCACAAGTGAGGAGTTCCTGGTGTGGGTTTTTGGAGTGGGAGTGGAAGTGGGTGTGTGTTTGGTTGGGTTGGAGAATGGGCGTGTGTGTGTGTGTGTGTATGTGGGTGTGTGTGTGTGTGTGTGTGTGGAAGTGGGAATGGCAGTGGGTGTATGTGTGTGGGTGTGGGTGGGTGTTTTTGTGTGTGGGTGTGGGAGTGGGAATGGGAAAGGGTGTGTTTGGCTGGTTGGGGTATGGGTGTCCGTGTGTACGTGCGTGTGTATGTGTGTGTGCGTGTGTGTGCGTGTGTGTGTGGGTGTGGGTGTGGGAGTGGGAATGGGAAAGGGTGTGTTTGGCTGGTTGGGGTATGGGTGTCCGTGTGTACGTGCGTGTGTATGTGTGTGTGCGTGTGTGTGCGTGTGTGTGTGGGTGTGGGAGTGGGAATGGGAAAGGGTGTGTTTGGCTGGTTGGGGTATGGGTGTCCGTGTGTACGTGCGTGTGTATGTGTGTGTGCGTGTGTGTGCGTGTGTGTGTGTGTGTATGTGTGTGTGTGTTTATTTGTCTGCGTGTATGTGTGTTTATGGGAGAGGTGGTGGGGGGGGAGGGGGGTTGCGTGCCTCTCTCTCTGTATGAATGCGTTCGTCTATGTGTCTTCGTCAGTGTCACTTCTTAAATAAAATAGATAAACAAATAAATAAATAAATAAATAAAACACCAAGAAACTCATTAAATGAGCAATCTCACTTCCAGATTTTTTTTTCTTTTTTGACCGATGTTCCAAAATATATTTTCTTATTTGTTTCCTGTCTTGCTCTTTCCTTTTATCTTATCTTCCTCTTCTCTCATCTCATCTCTTATCTTTTTCTTATCTGTATCTTATCTTTTTCTTATCTATCTTATATTTTTCTTATCTGTTTCTTATCTTTTTCTTGTCTTTTTCTTATCTTTTTCTTATCTATTTCTTATCTGTTTTCTAACTATTTCTTAACTCTTATCCTCATCTTATCTATATCCTATCAATTTCTTTTCTATATCCTATCTATTTCTTATCTATCTCCTGTCTATTTCTTATCTATTTCTAATCTATCTCCTGTCTATATATCTATTTCTGATCTATATCTTATCAGTTTCTTAGCTATGTCTCGTCTGTGTCTTATCTTTTCCTTATCAATATCTCATCTATTTCTCTCTTACCTACATCTTATCTATTTCTTATCTATATTTTGTCTATATCTTAACTGTACCTTATCTATTTCTTACCTCTATCTTATCTATTTTTCACCTCTATCTTATTTGCTTTATTTCCTCTATCTTATCTATTTCTTACCACTATTTTATCTCTTACTTACCTCTCTATCTTATCTCTTTCTTATCTGTATCTTATCTCCTTCATACCTCTATCTTATCTTATCTCTTACTTAACCATGCCGTATCTATTTCTTATCTCAACCTTATCTCTTTCTTACCTCAATCTTATCTTTTACTTACCTCTATTTAATCTCTTTCTTTCCTCTATCTTACCTATTTTCACCTCTATCTTATCTCTTTCTTTCCTCTATCTTGTCTCTTACTTTCCTCTATCTTATCTCTTTCTTTCCTCTATCTTATCTCTTTCTTACCTCAATCTTATCTTTTACTTGCCTCTATCTTACCTATTTTCACCTCTATCTTATCTCTTTCTTCCCTCTATCTTCCCTCTGACTTAACCAAGCCGTATCTCACGCTCGCAGCCTGGACATGCGCCACGACGGGGATTCGGACGCGTGGCTGTGCAAAGGGAATCAGTTCCTCATGTCTTCGGTCATGTCTTCGGGAGCAACGACTTGGTCTTCGTGCTCCAAGAACGCGCTCGCTGGATTCATCTCTTCCGGGAGGTAGTTTTGGAGTCGGTTTTGGGTGTTATGTTTATTGGTGAGGCGTGGTTTTGTGTGTGTGTGTTTTTTGTTTAAGGTTTTAAGAGGTGTATTTCTGCTTAAGGTTTTAAGAGGTGTATTTCTGCTTAAGGTTTTAAGAGGTGTGTTTGTGTGTGTGTTTTATAAGAGGCGATGTTTTCTTTTTTCCTTTCATCTTTTTTTTCTATTCTTTTTTTTATCAATTCATTTTCTGGTTGACTCCTTTCCTTTCTTTGTCTCTCGTTTTTTTTTTGTCTCTGTTTCTGTTTCTTTGTATACCTGGTTGGTTGGTTGATTTTTACCATTCGCTTTCTCTCTGTCGCTCGCTCTCGCTCTTGTTCTTGCTCTTGCGCTCTCTTTCTCTTTCTCTCTCTCTCTCTCTCTCTCTCTCTCTCTCTCTCTCTCTCTCTCTCTCTCTCTCTCTCTCTCTCTCTCTCTCTCTCTCTCCCTCCCTCCCTCTCCTTTCTTCCCGCCCTCACGTTTCCTCTCCCCCTCTCCCTCTCCCTCCCTCCCTCTCCCTTCTTCTCTCCCTCCCTCTCACACACCCTCCCATCCACTCCCCCACCTGACCCCCCCCCCTTTCTCCCTCTCTCCCTCGCAGCGGCAGATGCTTGACCGCCACCAAAGAGCTGAATGACCCCAGGAAAGGTCACCGCGGGAAACTGCCAGGGAAGAGGTTTGGTGCCAATGAGCAATGCCGCTACATGTATGGCGAGGGATGGGATTTTTTCTCGTCTCCTGAGAGCCCCTTCAATGTAAGTGTTTTTGTTGTGGTTGGTGTTGTTATTTCGTGTTTCTATGTTTTTATTTCTTTATTTTATTGTTTTTTTTCCTGATTCACTCTTTTTTTTCTTAAAATTTGGTTTAGTTTTTTTATCAATTTCGGTTTTTATGGATTTTACTTTCGGTGTGATACTGTTATATCCATTTTTTTCTATTATTTTGTGTTGTTTATTTGTTTTATTTTTATCTATTTATTTATTGTTATTTTTTTGCTTCTTAGTGATTTTGTTAATCTTAGTTGTTGTTATTTATTTTTTGCTTACGTTGTTATTTTTTTTTACTTTCGTTGTACATGAGACAAGGGATTTTGTTATCCATTGTTCATCATTATGCTTCTTCCTAATGTCACTCTTTTGCGTTCGTGTCTCAGTTCCCACTTTAAAGAACGCCTTTAATTGATCGTCTTCCCCATTTCGTCGGGTTCTTGAAGGCGTTCATTCGTGTCTTGATTTCTCCCTTTCAGAACGTCTGCAAGGAGATCTGGTGCCGCAACGGACCCAGACTCAGGACTCCCTCTGCCTCGGCTCTCGAAGGAACGCCCTGTGGTCCCCTGAAGGTAAGTCCCTCCTCCTTTCTCTCTTTCTCTCTCCTGTTTTACTAGTTCTTCTTATCTCTTTTTTATCTAGTTCTCCCATGAAGGCAAGTCCCTCCCTCTCTCTCTCTTGTTTTCTGCCGATTTGCGTTAGGCTGCCTCGATCTCTGCTTTTCATCTGTATTACATATTAGAAGCAACCTTACTTCTTGTCTTAGAAGCAACTCTAATTCTTCTTAAGTTCTAAGGACACATTTGTTACAATGTGTCCATGGTCCTGTTCTCGGGTATACAACGAGTCTCGTTTCATTCATATTTCTCTCGTTTCCTGGAGAGATGTCCCACGGTAGTCCGTCTAACCTTGTAATTAAAACTTAGATGCAATATAACACTATTTATGCAGATGAAGTCAAGAGAAGACAGCATCGTGTATGAATTGCAACCCACTCGCACTTTATTTCGTACAACTGCGAATGAGTAGGAGTTTTCCTGTTACATGTGAATGTGATTGTAGTGTCACATCTTTTCGGAGTTTACAGAGAGACAGTAATGAAGTTCACTGTATATATTAGGACTCTTAGTATGTATATTTTTATTCACAAATACATATGCATGCATGTACGTACGAAGACTCGTACAAAGACACAAACAAACACCCGCACATACACGCAGACACAAACACACAGATAGATAGAAAGAGAGAGAGAGAGAGAGAGAGAGAGAGAGAGAGAGAGAGAGAGAGAGAGAGAGAGAGAGAGAGAGAGAGAGAGTCAGAGACAGAGACAGAGAGAGAGAGAGACAGAGAGAGAAAGAAAGAGAGAGAGCGGGAGAACTAGAGAGAGAGAGAGAGAGAGAGAGAGAGAGAGAGAGAGAGAGAGAGAGAGAGAGAGAGAGAGAGTCAGAGACAGAGACAGAGAGAGAGAGACAGACAGAGAGAGAAAGAAAGAGAGAGAGCGGGAGAACTAGAGAGAGAGAGAGAGAGAGAGAGAGAGAGAGAGAGAGAGAGAGAGAGAGAGAGAGATTTTCAGACATGCCATGTATAGAGGAAACCTTGTCTTTCAGATCTGCAGAAGAAGCAAATGCAAGAGAGTGGCACCGCTCGATAAAGACGAAAAGAAGAAACTGAAGGAAAACAAGAAGAAGAAGAAAAAAAAGAAGAAGGAAGAAAAAGAAAAGAAAGATTCCAAAAAGGTCGTAAAGAAAAATAAGAACAAGAAAGATAAGAAGAAAAAGGAAGGGAAATCGAAGAACAAGAAAGCTAATGTCGACGAACTGGACCTCACGAAGAAGAAAGGAAAAGTGAAGAAGAAGAAGAAGGAGAAGACGAAAAACGACAACAAAAAGGGCAAAAAACTGACGGTCAACCTCGGAGACCAAACGACGGTGAAAACGAAGGAGAAAATATCCAAAAAATCGAAAAAACCGAAGAAGAACTGGAGGGTCGACACACCAACGCACATAATCCTCAAAGAAAGGGTTGGTTATGTCGAGGGAAAAGGTTATAAGATCAGAGTCTTGCGGATTCGAAAGACGAAGACGATGATCGAGGCCGAAGCTAGGAGCGGCAATGGCGGAGGAGAGAGCAAGAAGAAACGAGTGAAAACTTGTATAGGAAGGGATAGGAAAAAGTGCAAGAGGTTAAGGAAGAAGAAGAAAAAGAAGAATAAAGAACTCGTGAATACGATTTTACAGAGATCTTCCAATGCAGATACTCGCTGTCAGTTGCAGAAAGTGAAGAAAGTAAAGGGACAAGGGTGGTGGGTCCGATTACCTCTTGACTGCCTTGTAAATCAGTCGACGGGATAGAAGAAAAGGTAACGGACTCAAATTTACATTCTTCTTACATTATATTTATTTGAGAAACGCAGTTATGTGTTATGAAAAAAAAATCCTGATACAAGTCCACTCAATATACAAAACAGAAAGGATGTAAAAATGCCAATGCTGAATTATAAATTCATATCAGAGATAAAGATTAATACATAAACATTAAAAAAGTGAAATGGACGATTTTCGACACAATGTCTACAAAAATCAAACATAGAAAGGCACTACCGAAGTTATATGAGAAAAAGAACACTTCGCCTTTTGTACGTTATAAAAGTGTGATTTAAAAATACTAACAAATGAACATGGAATAAAGACTAAGTATTAAGACGAAAAAATATATATATAGTTATCTGAGTCAAATCCATCACTCGTCGACTTCAAAGTTTTCCCATTACATTTTCCATGAATCTACATTTACAGTCATGTAGTGTTCTTATTTCATTAAAAAAAAATAATAATAAAACATGATAGAATAAACATGATCGTGTGTAAATTCATGTTTTCAAATACTTACTTAGGTTTACAAGTCTCCATGTATTA